CAGTGACCACAGAGAGAGGATATAATAAAAATGATTGTTAAAGAACACGAGGAACGTTTTCAAACCTAAAATTAATCTACCGGCGGGGTAATTGTTTTCCCGTCATTGTTTCGGAAGAAGCCTTGGAAAGCGTTTTTGGGCGGGGGGGCTTATGGGGCACACGGGGCAAGTTAAGAACGATATTCTTTTAAAAATTGCTTCCAGCCTTCAGTCTTTACTCAAAGGGTACAGCGCTGGGCCCGGGTAAGCATTCCTTTAAATGGGGAGAAGAATGGCAAGTGTAGTTGCATGAGATACAGAGAAAATAAGAGATTTTGAACAAGTGACCCGGTAAGAACTTAACCATCCTCCATAGAGCCCTCCGCAATATAGCCCCTAATTGATGCATCCTGGAAGGAGAAGGTAGGCATTTTTTTAAATCAATTGACGTGGCGGGTAAATGAAATGCTAGCGAAAATATATATATTTTCCTTGGGGACTTTAACGGTAGAGGTAGGAAGGGCAAGACCAAAATCTATTGTGTTGGAAGTATGGTCGAAAGAGACCATGGATGTGGACAATGCGTAAAGATGTCGTAAGCATCATTAATAGAACGAAATATTGTATAATTCTGCTATAATTAAAACAGAAAATATAAATACCAGTGCAAAATATGTACAGACTAGCTTACTTAATCGATCAATAAGCAACATAATTGACAACAGTAAAAGAAAAGAACGACTTCCACATTATTTTCTTAGGACCTTCTATCCAGAGTTGTAATTATTTATTTATGTAGTTATTTGTCATGTATGTATTAGATGTATCTCTGTTATTTTATGTTAATCGTATTCTTGTTTGTCTATTTTAGTATGGTGGGTTCGCACTGTATTTCTCATTTTGTAAATGTAGTAGTACATAATCAATTTCTCAATTGTGCTATGATGAATGTACTTATTTTCTCATTGTCTGTATGAGTCGTTTGTATTGGTTATCTCATTTGCAGTTGCCGTGGTATTCTCGATTACGGCGTGTTAATGGAGGCTGCTTAACGGAGGACGTATGCCAAGAACTTTTAAAATGATTCATTAGGTAATCTACTGGAAAAAAGGTAAAATTTAAAATATTTGAAAAACTACTGTGCAACAACAAGCTTTTATTTTTTTACACGTGTTATATACATCGAAAGAATTCGTCGAAACTACTCCCACTTTCAAAAAAGGTTTAACGGCCTTGATTTAAAGATATAATTATGAAAGGAAAAATGTCGTTAAGAAAAATCAACTTTCTTGCATTTGTAGGTTGTATAGAACGACGGCGTTAGGATTTTAATTTTGCAATTTTCCAAAACTCAGCAGAAGTTCATAAAAAATCAGTCATGTTGCCATTTTTATTATAGTATTATTTTTGTCGTGTTCAAGCAAAAAAATTTTAGGAAGGCAAATTTTAGGAGGCCAATTTTTTAAAAACTTATTTTTAAGAATTGGCTTTTTTTTATCATTTTAGAGTTAAGAAATAGTGGGTTATTGGATTAGAAATTAAAATTTTATGTTATCTTATGGTATAACGGGTGGTATTAGGTATTAAGGTATGGTGGTTAATGCCAAGGCGCTTAAATGTCAGCATGATTGGCAGGAGATTAGATAAAAACTTAAGGAGAATACGATACTTGAAATTAATAGATAGTAGACCAAAGTGATGGAGTTTAAATGGGGCAAGAACGCGAAGAGTAAATGTGAGAAATGTATATGGAGAAGGAATTATAGTTAGTAACGTTTGAATATTAATAAGTGTTTACGGTTCTGTCTTAACAAGGGAGGGGGCTTACGAAAACACATGCGCAGAAATATGTATGGTGGTTATGAACAAATTGTATTTCGTAATGAAGTTTTAGGAGTACGCGTGAGAAAGTGTAAAAAGTGGTGTTTCATCTTGGCGGAAGAAATCAGGTTTTCAACAAACGATGAGGACCTGCATCACATTTTCTCTTGTAGGGCTTCAGACTACCCACCAACAAAATTTCCATTCAAAATATGGAGTCTGTTTTTGGAGAAAAAAAAGTGTTCGAAACAAAATTAAAAAATTTAGCTTATATTTTTTACGCAACATACCATAGAAATAGCTTAAGTTTTTTGTAAAAATTGTAGATAATTTATTTAAAAAATCTATCTTTAAAAACAATTGTCACTTAAAAGGAAAAAATTCTCGTAAATTTAATATTTTAGTAGCCAAGAAGACGTAAAAATATTTTGAATTTTTTCAATTAAAAAAATTTGTTTTCAACCATATAAGACTGCGCCATTCTCTTTACAGTTGCTTGGAGACTATCCAGCAAAACAATTTAATCAAATTCGATTGTGCCTTTGAAGAATTGTCCCACGGCTTAGTCCCGCGCCATTTCGCGCGAATTGTCTGGCAACAGAGGGCGAAGCGAAGGATATGCAAACATCAAGTAGGTCTCTGCCATGATAGTGCGCTACAGCAAAACGTGGGGAGGTTTTGCAAGCCTCTCCGTAAAAAACTCGAAGAGAGGAGACATGGGAATGAAACCCAGTTTTGTAAAAGCTTTGAAATTTGTAATACTGTACATATATGTAGTACTCAATGAGTTTGAGACAATTACGCATTGGTTTCAAAGTTATTTCAGATAGATAAGTTATTTGAAAAACATGTACTGTTACGATTATGCATTTATATTAACTTGATGCGAGCTAGAATTGTTTACGGGACAGGTTTTTGAACTCAGAAAAACAAAACTAAAAAGTGTGGTGAAACGTCAAAGATGTGATCTAGTTTTTACGTATTATTTTATTGATGGGCAAGGGATCTGAAACTCAAGAAGAACGTGTGCAGATATCTTCTACCCCATGACGTCACATTACAGTTTTTACTTTTTTTGAACTAATTAAAAAAATCTTAATTTCCATCTACGGATTTTGTTATTTCGCCGCTTGTTCGAGCGCGGGAACGTTCTCTACTTGTTTCATGCGCAACTTGGCGAGTTGCGAAAGATGGCTGCGCTAGGGGCTATCTTTAGAAGCGATCGTATGATACATGTTAGAAACTGGTGTGATTAAGATAGACAAACCACGACGCTTAGTGAAACAATTTCCAAACGCATTTCTCTACATCCAGAACCGCGACGGTAAGAGTTTCTACCAAAACGTCATACTGTTCTCCTCTTGTGGTTCATGCAACACTGATGATTCATTCTTTCCTGGAACGCCTTCATTGGAGAAAATATAAATGTTTTTCTGTGGAAGAAGGTGGTTGCTTCTTCTCAAATTTTGTTGCAAAATGAATTGAACTACGTTCTGGAAGAATGTCTTATTCATCCGAAGTATGTGTTTCTTAGCCCAAAGACTATTCATTTCAAATGTCACATATCACATTGCTGGTTGTGCTGGTTTCCTTTTGGCCTTTATAGCTACTGTTGAAGACCTATTTACTTTCAAAATTCTATGAAACAATAACATAACCAAGTATGTTTGAGGTATTTTATTTTTTGGTCTATTTCATCATAACTGTTAAAAGACGGCATGGTGTCCTTCAGATATTGTTTGTACTTGGGTTATGAATGAAAATACATTCAGGGTTATTTGGGGCATGTATGTGGTAGGTTTTAGTCGTTCATTTTTAGAACACATATTAACACATATTACTTTTTTGCTAATGTGAGAGTGTCAAACATATTTAATCTTCATGTACAATCAAAGAAATTAATTACCTTATTTCCTTTATTGCAGATGAAGCAAGAAATCAATTTAAAGAATATGTCAACACCTTGGCTACCATTCGCAATGAGGATGTAAGTTACAAAGAGATAATGTATGAGAAACATAAATAACATTTATTAAAACATGAATGGAATTTATTTATGAAATTAGGTGAACAGTGAAAATAAAAGTTTGAGGTTAGACATACTTGAAGAAATTTTGAAATTATCTATACCACTATATCGTGGTCATCAGGGTTAAGCACAGTGTGTAGTGTGAACAATTCTGTCATTTGTTGTTGTTGTATTTTACATGTGCAGTGCAACTGTTTCTTATATGTGTTGCTACATTTTGGATTCTCCTGCTACGAGTGACAATGGAACAAACATAAAGTGAACGAATTCATATTGTTTAATATGTATTATTCCAAAGTGCACTTACCTATAAGAATGCCGCATATAGAATGTCAACAACAAACTATTTCCAAAATGGAGAATCATATTTACCATATTTTTTTGTTTTGAACATTTAATTTTACATTCATTTTATTTCACAATTACTATTTCTTAGTACACTTAGTTAAGCATGGATGGTGCATATCAATATTTCTTCGTATGTTCAGAATTCAAGGTAGAAATTTTGAATTTCACAAATTTAGTGTTTGTGAGAGGCAACATTTTTGATGAAACAGTGAAAGTTTGTTGGAATTGAATATTGGTAGAAAGTTTCCATGGATATTCTGCAGAGTGGGTCATTTGAACAATATTACAGGAAAAATTAGTAATGTTATGTGATTTTGTTTACGTTTTGATACAAGAAGAAAAGTATGCAAGAAATTTATAAATATTAACATAATTCACTGATATCATATGTACACATAAACATGCAGTTGTTTGCATTGATGTTAATTGTTAAATTGTAAGGAAAAAATAATACATGTTAGGATGAAGAAACAAGTATGCAGAATTACAGGATCACATTAAATGTTATATAAAAGGTAAAATTTAGATTTATTAGAGTGTGTTGTTTAAATTTCCGTGATGGGTTAAATTTGTTTATTGAAGAGCTGTAGATATCATTTTCTAATAGGAGGGAAATGTTGACAGTGTTGAGCTAGGTCATGTAAGACAATTATTGCAAAAAGAAATTTCAAAACAAAATCCCAAAAGATGTTTTTTAAATGTTGAGTCTAACATGTGTAGCATTTTTCATTAATAGAATTGAACGCATGAAATTCAGTATAAATAATAAGTAGGTCTTCTATTGTCATTTAGCAGTGAAAGCTAGCTGTCAACATACTATTTATTTTGTTACGCTTCTTTTTTTAAACCAATCAAGTGTTTTGGAGAATATTGAAGCTCCTAATATGTGAAGATTAGTGAGACACCCAAGGAGGAGCTACAGGAACCATGCATTACCCCCTAATTCATGTTTTTTGTATTTTACTTAATTTATTCTAATCAGTTATCACTTTCAGATTACACAACATGAAAATAAATATTTTCATTGTGAATATATATTTTTAAAATAAATCAAAAATTAAAAGACATAATTTTAATAAATTTTACATAATTTTTAATTTTTTTAAAATTTTTTTTATTGTCTCAAAAATACTTTTGGGCGGGGAGATTTGCACTGAAACCTTCCTTCCTCTTTGACTCTGAGCTCTGAAATTCTTTGTGGATCCATTGTTGATGAAAATGTACTACTTCTTTCGGCCATGATGTGATCAGTGAGTGAGTTAAAATAAAAGTCTGTTTTAATTTCTGAAAGTAATATTAATTAAATTTTACTATACTATACATGCTAACTTAGAAATGAGAAGACACACACACACACACACACAAAGAGGGGAAAAATTTTAAATGTAATTATTTGACATTTGTTCGCCTTAATTTATTTACTTTATGAAGTGATTAATAATTTGAGATTCTTATTTAATTGTGATAAAATAATAGTTTTGATAGCATTAAATATTCAACTTGTCTTATATTGCATATAATTTCGAACTTTGTGCTAATTAGTTTTAATCATTCACAGGAATATTACCATCTAATGACGTTTTGCTCATTTGTTCATTCATTCATTCATTCATTCTTAAAGCATGCTGTTCCCATACCAGCCTTTGAATCTTCATGTAACAGTATTCTGAGTTTGAAATGGATTTTCTTTATTAGTATTATGTGAGATTCTTTGTGTGTAAATTTCCTTGTCAAGCCAAGCTTTTTTTTTTTTTTTAAGATTATTGTGCACTTACGTGTCAAGATAATTAAAGAACACTCAGTAATTTGAAAAAAATCTTTCTAATACGAATATTTTGTTTTGGCTCATATGTCCACGGAGTATTTTGTTTTAAATGTTAATTTCTCTGGTTATCTGACAAGTGGGGATGTAGCAGATTGCGCTTTAAATATTATTTTCGTTTTATGCTGACTTGACTGCTTACTTAGTATAGAGAAAGTACTGAAATGCTACAGGAAAAAACGCGAATATTGGACAGAAAATGAACCATTTCAAATTGTCAGGCTCTGGTAAGGAAAGAGGGGACAAATCTTATCCCCATGTGTGTGTGTGTATGTATAACTTAAGTAAATTACTTCCTATAATCCATTGTGTAATCAGAATCCATATTTTGTGGGTCCTTGGTACCCAAAAAGTGATTGACGGTCTTCGTCCGTAGGTAGTCAACACTAGCGCCTAAAATGTTAAGCCGATTTTCTCCAAAATTGATATTTCCTAATTAATATGGCCGATGTCGTGACGCCTTGGATTTGAAATCAATATTTTAATTTTGGGGGTTATTTTACATAATTCCCGTGGGTCATTAAAAAAAATGACCTCCATTTTTTAAATTAAATTTTAACCTCGGATGGTCTAAGGGATGCTTCAATGAATGGTTCAGGTCTCATTTTCCGTGAAGTCCCTGATTTTTCGAAAATTGAAAACGAGTCTTCCTAAAATTAAATATTGGATATAGAAATGTTTCATTAATAAATTCTGTTCTTATAAGACATATTTTGCAATAAGTTCACGTACAATTTTTTGAAAATTTGATTTCTTACTGCATAATTTTGAGTTATCTATAGTCAATTAAGTTGGTTTAATTTTTTTCTCAAAAACGGCACCAATTTTTTTTATTAAATTTTAATTTTGGATAGCGTAAAGGCCGCGTAAGAGAACGGTACATGTCTCAGTTTCGTGAAACTTCCAGATTTTTCGGAAATTGCAAAAACCGAATTTTTTCTTAATGAATGGCGAGTTCTTACAACTACAACCATGAAGATCAAGTAAGTTCATGTTCTATTTTTCGAAAATACGAATATTTTCGCGTCAAACATTTTAAACAGTAATTTTCTCAGAACCTGTTCCAGTTTTTTCTTTAATTTTTTTCGCGTATGCATAGCGAAGAAAGTGACGCTCGACCTATTTTCGGCGTACTATTTCTAATTTCGAAAATTGCAAAAGTCGAATCAAGAAATTGGAATTTCCTGCGTTTGAGGTGGTATCACTCCCATGGCAATGTAATTTGAGTTGTGCTTGGAGGCAGTCGTTAAAATCTTGAAAAGGAAAGGAAATATTACGTTTTATTTTATTTTAGCATTAAATCTATTCTAAATTTGCTTCATTTAATTGAGTTAAATATGAAAACGTATGAATTTATTTGTCGTTTATTTATTTACTTTGTGTGACGTCATATGAGAAGAAGTTATATTTATGTCCAGAAGCAAAATAGGGCCATCTCAGTATTTGCTCGAGGATCAGGGAAACTGGGCGAAAACCTGATCGAGATGGCGTTCATTGACCCAGAAGCTGAAGTACAATACTTGTTACAGGTTCTTTAGAATTATACAATCCAAATTGTATATAATACATGAAATCTCATTGTTAAAATTAATATTACTTTCCTTTTGGATGCTCGGTATAGTCACTAATTGTATAGAAACAGT